CCCTGTCGTTCTCTCTCACATCTATTCCTTTTCTTTCTAGCACTCTTCATCACAGTGTGTCATCAGGTAAGTAATTGTGGGAATATTTTTAAACTTGGTTTTAATTTTAAATTGATACAAAAGAATATTGAACACCTACTTACAAGGAATAATTCTAACACACTGCACGTCTGTGTCACCATCCCCAGATTCAGTCCCAGAGCACTGTGCGCCCTTGAACCTGCGTGTGGGTCCAGGGCTCTTCCCCTCCCCGACCTGGAATTTTATATAAACTTCCCTTGTGTCTCTTTTTGTTTTACAACATTATTAATAGTGGCCCCTAAACGATACATGTTTAGTTTTGCATGTTCTAAAACTCCATATAATTAGAATCACACCGAATACAGATCCTCCTTGACTTACAACGGGGTTACATCCCAATAAACTCATCATAAGTTGAAAATATCGTTAAGTCGGAAACGCATTTAGTACACCGAACCTCTCGAACATCCGAGCTTAGCCCAGCCTGCCTTAAACCCGCTCAGAACACTTACATTAGCTTGCAGGCAGGCAAAATCGTCTAACACAAAGCCTGCTTATGATAAAGTGTTATCATTGGTTGAAAGTCTCAAGTAATTGATTGAATACTGTACTAACGTGAGAAACAGAGTGGCTGTGTGGGGACAGAAGTGGTGGGAGTGTGTCAGTTGTTTACCCTCACTATGAGGCTCGCTGCCCAGCATCACAAGGGAAGAGCTGTCACACATGGATGGCCAGGGAAAAGATCACGATTCAAAATGCAAAGTCCGATTTCTACCTATTCCCTACTAATATTAAGAAAAAAATAACTTGAAGCAAGATTTAAAGAAAATGACCCCATGGTGCCAACTGAGTCTTTCTCCCTTTCATCGTCCGTGCCTTGCGGGGGGAGGGTGGCTCTGCATCCTGGCTCTACCGCATACCAGCATGGGGCACTGGCCAGTTAACCCAGGTCTATGTCCTCACCCACAAAATGGGTACATGTTTGTCCTTCACAGCTTCATTTTGCACATTAACTAGTAATATACCTAAACCCCACATACATCCCTTGGTACACAGAAAAGTGAATCTTAAAATTACGGAGTTGTTCCTGTCACTTTACTTCTGAATTGACCTCCCATATTGTGAGGAAACTGTCTTCCACTAACCCAGAATGTTCTGTTGAAACATTAGGAATCTTCCATTAGGAGACTCCAGCATGGCATCATGGTGCCCGAGAGCTGGCGGGATGCGGGTTGTTGTACTTCGGCAGCATGGGGCTCTCCTTCCCAAACGAGCTCCTTCGGCAGTGCTGGTTCTAGTCAGGTCAGAACACCAACATCGGGAAAAAACACTCCTGTTTCTTTTTCCCAGAGCACGAGTCTCGTCCAAGCTCCAGAGGACGGTTCCGAGGGCCATCTCGCTCTGTCCCCACTAATGGTCACCTTCATGTGGATGCTCTTTCATAGACCACACTGGTCAGTACCCATTAACACACCTTTGCATCTTCTATTTTTTCCCCCAACTTGGCTTCTCAAAAGGGCTTTACTCTTTTTCTCTCGTGAACATTTTAGCACATTTAAAAAATAACTCCGTTTCACCCGGGTTTTTTTCCCCACTGAATCATGCTTCATCTCCTCGGTACAGCCAGAGGGGAGGTTGATTTAAAGCAGCTGAGAGAGTGACGTCATCTGCCTCCAGCATCGAACACGGAGAGGAAAGAAGAGAGGTTTACCTCGGAGGCTCCAGAAAGGCCAGAAAAAAGAGGCAGCTCTCAGAAAACCAAAGAGAGACAGCCCCAGAACCAAGAAGCTGGAGCCTGTGGATCCAAGACGCTCTGACCTTAGGAAGCTGGTCCCAGCCATGCTGGCTCTGGGAACTGCGCTGAGAAAAGTTGCCGCAACCGAAGTAGAGCTCTAACTATTCCGTTGAGCAGATGTTACACTATTTTTATATAGCGCTTATTTGACTTAAAAATTTTTTAAAAAAGAGATTTCCCTTTTGCATCATATATGTTTTAAAACCTCATATATTCCCGCTGCCTCAACATCCCCACAGCCGGGCTGTGAGCTCACCGCCCAGGAGACCAGGGGCATAGGGTGTGAGGCTGCCCCTCCTACAAGCTGCCCTGCTCGCCCCCACTCATTGTGACCTAGTGACGGTCAAACGCACCAAGGAGATGCCCTACGTCTGCTTGTGTACCCCACCCCAACCCCATAAAGGTCCTTGCTCTCTCGGGGACCCACCTGCCTGACTGAGCCTGCTTGCTGGCTGCTCCTCCTGTGTGGCCCCCCGCGTGGCATGCCATGCCCGCCTCCTCCAGGACCCGTGAGTACGATACATCCTTCAATTTCACATGCCTCTCTGAGTATAATTTCTGCAGCCGTGTTGGAATTTTCCTTAAAGACCCCACAAGGGGGACCTGCTCCCCATTCACAATGCCCCATTTGCCTGGCTTCCTTCCTCAGCTCACCCAGTTCTGGAGGCCGTGTGAAATGGTGGCCGAGACTCAAAGGCTGGTCTGTATTTTTTTGTTCTCTTTCTGCATCATTCACTAACAGGGTGAACTTGGGAAAGTACCCGGGTGGCTTCTGCCGGTTGCCTCATGCCACACCCTTCGAAACCCCTCCTAGCTTGCTTTGCTGAGCTATCGCGCCTGGAAAGTTTGAGACCACATGGTCCAGAAGCTCTTATATCGAGGATGCTGTGGTTTACCTGGGTCCATCCAGCAGATGCCACCTCTAGGGCAGACGTGAGCAGCCACAGTGGGTCCAAACACCTGTTTCTTCTGGGTCGAGTTTCTCATGTCCCGTCACCAGCATCACAGATGCCCCTGTGGGAGGCGGGGCATATGGTGGGCTGTTTGTCCCCACGAGCTGTCTTTGCCTTTAGTTTCCTGGCTGTGTGGCCCTCAGACTTCCTATGTCTTCCTCAAGGGTTCTTTAAACTCTCAAGTATCTTTTTAATTAACCCAGTCTCATTTAAACCAGCAAAAGTGGACATTGTAGGCTGCAACCAAGAGCCATGACCAGTCCAGTCACTTTACCAATCTTAGCAACCCCTCAAAACAGAGACTTGTCCTCCGTTTTCCAAGGAGGACACTGATGGGCTGACTCAGGTGGGTAAATGGCATTAGTCGATGTTTAATATACCAAAGCTCTCATTCCTGTTACTATTTAAAATAACTGTTCTGCAGTTATTTTTATATTTTGAAACTTGTTTAGTTAAAGGCTACCTTGCAGGTTCGTTGAGTAACCTAAGAGCTGGACCACAGACCATCCGATGGTGAGAATAACCGGTCAGCACTTGCTGGACGGAAAGTGCCACAGAGCTCAGTAACGGCGGGAACATTTCTGAGATCCTCCTGAGCCTGGATTCGCCTTGTAGAAAGGATGTGAAGCTTATTTCATGAGAACTGGGAGTGCGCATGGGCTCACCCTGGCGCAGGTGCAGTGAAATGCTGACGGGTCCCTGTTAGAACGCCTACCATGTCAGCTCCTGGTTGATGGTTTCTTATCCATTAAGGACTTCATTACACTTTTTAACAGAAAACTACTTCCCACTGAATGTAAAATTCATTTGTGAAAAGCCATTCTGATTGACAGCTCCTCCATCTTCCCAAGGTCGGGGGCAGGGGGAGGATGCAGATGGATGTAAATGCTTTAGTCCTCATGGCAAATGGTTCGAAGACGCCATAACCTATGATGCTTCTCCTGGCTCTGAGTTAAACTTGGAAAGGAATTTTTTTTTTTTTGAGGAAGATTAGCCCTGAGCTAAGATCTGCTGCCAATCCTCCTCTTTTTGCTGACCCTTAGCTAACATCTGTGCTGATTTTCCTCTACTTTACATGTGGGTCGCCTGCCACAGCATGGCTTGCCAAGTGGTGCCTAGGTCTGCAACTGGGATCCGAACTGGCAAACCCCAAGCCACTGAAACAGAACGTGAGAACTTAACTGCTGCGCCACCGGGCCAGCTCCACCGGGCCAGCGCCACTGGTTGTATATGTTTATAGTAAAGAAAATCCACTGAATTTCTCCATGAAGAGGACTCATTTAACAACCACCCACATTCGGACAGCTGGAGTCCATCAGTAGATCTCGCCAAGGACAGAATCCTTTTTGCAGGTCATTCATAGCTTGGAACCAGGAAGCATCAGATGCTAGAAGCAGAGATGGGCGTAGGATATTGCTGGGCTCCAGCTCCGGGTGAGCCTCACTCTCTGTGAGGAAGAAGACCTCTGAAAGGTTGCATTCAATCATATGTTGCAAGTTAAGTTGCACAGAAGGCACGGGAGCTTGTTTCTGCCGGGAGTTTGGAGGGAACCACGGTGGACAAATTTGATCTGCTGAAGACTTTTGTAAAGTTAATTTTAGGTTCCAGATACTTTGTTTTGTAGACACAGTATCGTTCACTGGCAGCAATGGTTCCTGGAGCTGGGGAGGCAGAGGTGAATAAGATGTGTCCCTGGAAACTGGGGAGGGCGGTACGTAACACAGAAGCCATCGCAACATCCCCGTGGAAGGAAAGGAAGCCTTGACCTAAGGGGGGTCTTACTTTCCCGAGGGTCTCTGATCCGTTTGAGCAAGCCATCCCATTTCTAGTACCCTCGGGTTATCCTCCCAGGGTGTGCTCTGGCCTCCCTACCCCAGCTGCCTGTGGAGCCATTTTAGCCCTGAGATGCTCTGACTCACCAGCCCACCCAGCCACTCTCTGATCTGTAGAATCCCAAACCGGAAGAACGCAGCCATGGGGCAGTCCCTGGAGAGACTGTCTCTGCTTTTTCTGTCTCTGAGATTCCACGAACCCACAGAGAATCCGTTTGTCGAGCATTACGCACACTGCAGCTGAAAATCCTCGGAAGATGGAACCCATTGTTGTGAGTGATTGAGTTTCATATTGTTTTGCCAACTCCCAAACAAACGGACAGATCCGTTTGGAGCTTGTTTTTCTTTGTTGTTGTTTAATAAAGCAGCAATCATATAGCGTGTAAGATAATGGAATGGTTGAATGCAGACTTGAATTATTTTATTTTATGGAGTCTTAATTAGATTTGTAATGCTGAGCTCCTAAGAACCAAATGCTGCTTAGATTTAATGAGACCTGTTATGGAGAGTTAGAGAATTGTAATTCTCCCATTAACTCAACAATGATCCATATTGCAAAGTTTAGCATATATCAAGTTGCAAAAGATGCTCTTGACACAGCAGGGGATCCAGTCCTCATTTCTCCTTATTTCTCCATGCTGTTTCCTCTCGGTGTTCTTTGCATGACCCCTGGAGAAGAACCCTTCACCTCAGAAGGTTCTTCATTAAAGTTTCGATGATTTACCACCCCACCTGAGTGGCGACTTTGGTGGCACATGGGCCTGCTGCGGGGCTGCACGGGGAGGTTCTCAGCTCAAAGCTCACATCTTCAGTGCGTGTCACATCCCACCTTCCAGCAGGTCATCGCTTCCTGGGACCCGACTGCCAAGATGGGATAGACACAGAGTCGGGACACCTGTGGGTCAAAACCAACGTTGAGGCAGGTTCTGTAGATAATTTATTGCCACGAATATCTAAAGTACCAGGTTTATGAATAATTTGTTTTATTAAAACATAAGCCCCAGTGGCCATCCCTATAATAACACCACTCCAGTTTCCCGCCTCCCAGTCTGGTGTTCAGAGTACGAGGGAGAGGGGTGGACTCAGAGCTGGGGCCCCGGGGAGCATTTTGAAGGAGAAATGGGGAGTCCGTTGGGAACCAGCACCCGGGGGGAACCCCCCCTGCACTTCCTGGAGGAGCTGAGAGGTGGGGCTTCCAGGCAGTGGTCTTGGGGGCACACAGGTGGCAGCCTCCCTTCCAGCATGTTCCCTCGTGACTCCTCGGGCTGCCTACACAGAGTGCCCCGCTGCCCTGTTGGCCCAGAAGCGTGGAACCGGCCCGTGGTCTCTTGAGAGAGTGAGTCTAAGCTTCAGTTTTCCTGTTGGAGAAGTGGAGGCAACGAGAGTCCCTACTTTCTCACCAAGCACGTAGGTGGGGCTCACCCAGCATGGCGCCTGCCCACAGCCAGGGTCCAAACGCCCTGCCACTGCCACTTCCTAATTTATTCTATTTTCTTTTTCCTATGTTTCAGAGCCCCTTTAAAAGGGAGATCATGAAAGCCTATTTCTGGCTCAGGGTTGGTCTTACAAGGGTCTCCAAACTTTGCATTCCTATAAAAAAATAATTTTGGAAAAGCCCCATCGTGTTTTTAAGGAATGAATTGTACGGCAGTACACGTGTCTAACGTGTGGTGTGATTTATAGAACATACAAGTGTAGGGGAGGAGGACATTTCCTCTACCGAATGTGGGTTCGCCTGGCCAGAGAACGAATTAAATTCACAAGACAGAATAGCAGGAGAAAATTAAACAAAGCTCTATGAGGACCATGGCCCGGGGCCTTTCTTCCCGAAGGAAGAAAGGGCCGAAGAAGGGGGGTGCACACAGTGGTGATATACCCCCAAACAGGGTGCTCACATGTGATTGAGAAGTCCCTCCCACAATAGTCACAAGATTGCCCTATCAGCATAGCGCTTGATGGACACAGCAGGTAGTGGGTCTGCTCTCTTGGTGGGCATAGCAGGAGGCAAGTCTATTGTCGCAAGCTGGGCGGTCACAGGTGAGCTGGGTGGTCACAGGTGAGCACAGCAATCGGTTCCTAGCCTAAGGAAAGATGCTTAATCCTTAAAGAAATGCCAGTGTTGGGAGGGGGAGGGAAGTCAGTTACAGGAGGTCACCAGACAAGCACAATAAACAAATGCAGGTTTAAGTCCTTGCCTTCCCCATTGATTAAGAGTTTCTAGAGACAAGGTCATCTCCTTTCTTCTTCCTGGTACAGAGAGGGAGATAGCTTTACAGATGGAGAGTTCCTTTCCAATGTAAATGTCTCCTAACAAAGGGCAAGCAAGTTCCACCCCTCAGAGACTCCTTCCCTGTCCCAATTTATCAAAAGCAATCAGCCTCAAATAATCCTCATGTCAAAGAGACACATCTTGGGGTGGCCAAATCCAGGTCCCCACACAGGGAAAGAATGTAAGGAATGAGATACACCAAAAGGAAGCTGTGGTATTTCCATCACGCCCCTTCGTGGATCGTCCTCTGTGCAGCCTGGGGTGCCCACTGCTGTCTCAAAGACCCCTGGGCCCCCGGCACCTGGTCCTCCCTTCTCCTCCACGGACTCGGGAGCCTCTGCTCCCCTTCCTTTTGGGCCCAGTGGGCAGACACTGTAAGGACCTTCCCAGCCTTGGCTGAGGGGTGCCACTTCCCCACAGCCCCGTCACCCCTCTGTGCCCCGAGGCCTGGGTGAGGGTCTGTGGGCAGGATGGGTGGGGACACCCCTGGTCCCCTAACTTTCTCTCCCAGGGCCTCCCTGTCCTGTTAGTTCAGTGGAAAGAGGTTGGAATTTTTCAGAATGCCCTTTACTAAAGAAATAAGGGAAAATAGAGCTCACAGAAGGAGCATCCGAGGACATGGACCTGTCACTTTGCAGATTGTCGATGTCTCTGCTCAGAGAACTGCAGACGGAGTGGGGCTCTGGGACACCCTCCCTCAGGGTGATGGCCTTCACAGGCTCTCGGGGAATCTGCTCACCCCTGAGACTGAGGCTCAGCATCCCTGGATGCAGGAGACGTGAGTGCTCATCTCTGAGGCTGACGGGATGAACGAGGACGGCATGTGCGAGGCGAGCACAGGTGCCTGGCACCCATCAGACCATGACCCCCATGGCCGTTGTCTTGTCTTGGTGAAGATCTGCCCTCACCATTCGTGTGGCTCTGGGCACGTGCCTTCACCTCTCTGGACTACGGTCTCTTTATCTGTGCAGTTAGAGGGATGGGCAGCCTGATGCGAGATCCCTGGCCACTGACACGCGTGGCTCCAGTTCTAGGCACACTGGCAGCAGCCCCTTTCTCCTTACACCCTGGAACCTTCCTCTGGTGGATCAGCCTCTGAAACCACTAGCACCTGGGGTCTGGGATGGGAGATGATGCTCTTTGGGAATCTCACCAGGCCAGACACACCTCCTCCTTTCGCTCTGGTGTGGGGAGCGCTAGTTGGCTTCTCTTTCTCAGGCACAGAAGCTCCCACGCCCAGCCCGAGATAGTAACCCACATGCAGAGTCAGGGGCATTGACAGGTCCAGAGTGTGGTCACCACTCAGGCCCCACCTGGCTCAGCTTCCCACCCAGGCCTGAGCCCTAGTGTGTGCGAGGGGTCCTCACCCATCTTTCTGGTTTACAGCCTGCCCACCAGTGGGGTGAGTGTGGATCTCCAAGGATTCCACTGCTACCGTGGAGAATCCAGAACAATGCAGGGTTGGGGCTGCCCCAATAGGAGAGTCGCTGGACCACCCTGGGCCTGTCTAAAGGATGTGATGACAATGCCCACCTCTCAGACTGCTGGAAGGATGAGTGAGGCAGCGAGAACCACACTCATGCCACGTGTGAAGGGATGTGAGGGACACATGTTAGTATTTTTAGCTATACTTTGAATTCTGAGCTGCCTGCCCTTTTCAGATTCAGCAGGAGGTGGCCTGTGTCTGTCAGCCTCCAGTGGGACCCCTCGTAACCCCCAGCCCTGTGCAGTCCCCTCCCACACTGTACCAGAGTCACACACCGAGAGTGAAGGGATGTCACTTCTGAGACTGGATTGTCAAGGATGTAGTGGCTTCCATCTTAGCCACTCTCTCTCACCTTCTTGGATCCCTTGCTCTGGGGGAGGCCGGCTGCTGACGAGAGGCCCACAGGCCCAGTCACGGAGGCCTCTTGCCCACAACCGTGTGTGTGAGCTCGGAAGTAGGACCTTCAGATCCAGCCGAGCCTTCAGAGGACACTCCAGCCCCAGCCGCCAGCTTGATTGACACCTCATGAGAGTACCTGAGTCAGAGCCACCCAGCTTAGCCGGTCCCAGATTCCTGACCCTCAAAAACTATGTGAGATAATAAATATTCGCTGTTCCAACCTGCTGGGTTTTGGGGAAATTTGTTAGGCAGCAGTAGACCAGTAATCCACGGCCCCAACAATATTGGGTCCCAATCAGAATTCACTACATCAGAGTAAAGGTCCCACGGGGCATGCCGTACAGGCCCCGTCCATCATCCCCCTGCCACCAAAAGTCTCGTCTTTGTCTAGTCACCCCCTTCCTGATCCCCTCCCTGAGGTCCCTCTGGACCAGCTGCCATTTCCCAGCATCCCCCCTTGTCCTGTGCTCTGTTGTTCTCAGAGCCTGGTCTCGGTCTGAAACTCTCTATGCCCTTTCTGAGCCCCAGAACAGAAGTCCTCCTCCCAGGAGACCTCCCGGAGCCCAGGTAGAGGTAGCATCTCTGACCTCTGAGATCCTGCAGCACGTCCCGCAGACCCCACGGCTGCACTGCTCCTGTCGAGAAGATGCTTGTGGCTAACAGAGTCTCCGTGGGCTCCCGTCATCCCTGCCTTCTGGCATCCGTGCCTGTTCAGTCTTCAGGGAAACAGACCCTTCCCCAGTCGAGCCTCAGGTGAGACTGCAGCCCTGGCCCACACCTTGATGCAGGCTTGCGAGATCAAAAACTAAGCTGCGATGTCTGGTCCACAGAAACTGCGAGGTGATAAATGTAATATTTCAAGCTGCTGAATTTGCGGTAACTTGTTATGCAGCAACAGATAAATAAAATGATGCCTTATCAGGAACTGTAAAGATGGTAGGAGATGTGCTGTCCCCTGGGCTTTTAGAGCAGCACCTCTGGTCCCGTTGAGGTTACACGGTTTTGTGTAGTCAGTCTCAATCATGAGAAACGAGGGGGGTTCTGTAAATAGCTGCTCCAGCTCTGGACCCAGAGGCACGTGCAGCCTCGTCTCTTCCTGGCAGGGTCACCTTGCTCAAGTTACATTCTCTAAGCCTGTATTTTCCCATCTCTACAATGGGCACAGAAGTGCTGCTCACTTTGTGGGGCTGTTGAGAGAGTTATCGGAATTAAGTGCTCAGAACATTATCTAGAAAAATGGTAATGACCCGTTCAGAGTTTGTAGAATGGTCTACTTCTTGTTTTCTTTCTTCCGTCTTACCGCCTCTGTAGGGGGAGGGGAAGGCTCTGAGAACTACCATTTTTAGATGTTAAAATGAGGCCCAGAGACTCCTCAGGGTAACTTGGATGCTCTGAGGGGAGGCAGAGAGGTGGGTGGCCACGACCAGGGTCAAGGGTGACCAAGCTCAAGAACACTTATCCTCCTGGGTCTTGTTTCACGACTCTCTCTGGCCCAGATGGACCCCCTCCTGCTTTGCAACTGGTGCCGGGAAGTCCCAATGGGTGAGGACGGTGGGCTGACAGAAGAATACAGCTCTGTCCTCTCTTGGTTCCCAGGGGGTCCCACGCCCTCCTTCCTGGAAATTAAATGCCCAGAAAACTAGCTGGAGGAGCCACTGGCAGCCAGATGAGGCAATTACAATTTTTGAGCAATGGAAGTGACCGAATTGCCTGTAAATGTTAGAGACAAGCTTATATGAAAGTTGGTGCAAGAGCTATAATCAAAATGATTACAAGGTACAACGAGAAGACAAAAGAAGTAGAGGCAGAAATTAAGGACATTAAACAAAGAAGCGAACAGCTCACCAGCGACTGCAAATGGCATGGTTCAGAGCCCGTGTCTCAGCAGCGTCGGGCCTTGGGAAAAAAATTGCTGGGTGTCTGGTGGGAAAAGGCTTGTCGCTAGGATGTGCTTAACCCGAAGGAAACAGAAACGTTCCCCATGCGGAGCAAGGGTGGGAAAGTTAAAGGAGGAGTTGTTTATCTGCCTGGAGTGCTGGCCAAGCCACTCGAAATGACCTGAAATAGAAGCAGGAAATCTTGGCAGGTCACGCTGCCTCTCTGTGCCTGTTGGAACACGCAGCATGTGGGCACCAGGGATGGGGACGGTGGTGCTCTTGCCCCACCATCCTCATCAGTAGGGAGGGGGATCCTCCATCATTTATTACACCAATGGCTCCCTATCTAGTCCCCACCCCCCCCCAGACCCCCATAAGAAAGACTCTCCACCTGGCACAAGTGCAAACAGCACCCAGCACACGGAAGGAGAAGGAATCCCGGGGTCTAGCTCCCATGTTAACCACTGCACTGTGGGCCTTGGCTTCAGTACCTGCAGGACAAGGGACCCAGCTTCATCAGCGTTATTCCAGCTCGTCTGTGGTGCCGATGCACACGGAGCCCAGGCCCCGAGGGTGTCGCCCGCTCTCAACCTCCCTGCTGCTATGGCTCCTGAGCAGCACTTCCGACACCCTACCCAGATGGAACGAGAGTGACTTCAGCCCTGAGGATGCTCTGGAGAAAACACGCTTTCTCTCTCCCCACCAATTACAGACCTAATTATACTCCTTGACTCACATTATGAAACATTCTCCTCAGTGTGGTCACCTGAAATACCGTAATTTGTCACATTTAAATGCCTTATGCATAAGGTCTGTTTTTTTTCTTTCTTTGTGGTCTTGTACCCTCCTAGCAACCCCGTGGGTTAGGAAAATAAAGACACAGATGAAGAGGATGAGGCTAGTGACATCAGTGATGAAGTCCAGGGCAGAGCAAGTCAGGGAGGTCTGAACGGCAGACTCAGCACCAGGCTGGGGACCAGTGACAGAGCTGGCGTTCCCACTTTGAGCTCCCACTGCAGATTGCAAATGGGCTCAGAGCCGTTCACGGCAGTTGATGGTCTGGCATGGGCAGATGCGCAGGCACCCCTCTACGAGAAGCGAACCTCCCCTGCTGCCCCTTAGCTCTGGGCTTTGTGCAGAGCTTTGGAACCGTCCTTGCAGGCCATTGTCAGCCCTCTCACCACCCGTTCAGGAGCCCCCGGCTGTGTTCTGTAGAAGCAGACCTGAGATGCATGTGGGCACGGGGTTTATAAAGAAAGTGCTCTAGAGAAACCAGTAATGTTGAGGGGCACAGGGCAGAGGAGGGAGCCGAGCAGGGGGCATTCAGGTGGAGGCCCAGCCTGTGCCCGATCCTGCGGGGGCTCTGGAGTGTGACTGGCCCCGAGCATCCTTGGCAGGGCCTGGCTCTCTAACTGAACTCTGGGCAGTCATTGGCTGACCTCCCAGAGTCCAAGGGCAGCTTCCAGAGAAGTTCACGGGTGCAAAATTCACTGGAAGCAAAGAGCACAAGAGCCCAGGGGTGGGTACCCCAAACCAGAAAATATGATACAGGGCATCTTGGCAGCATCCAGCAGGGTCCACTAACCCAGATTTCACTCTGGGCTGGAGAATGCTCCGTCCACACGGCCCCCTCCTCTCATGTTCTCCTCTTTTGACTTATAAACACTCTTAACCCCACACTCCCAGAGACCCTCAACAGTAATTAAAAGTGGCATTAATTTTTGCTAGTGAGGAGACCCTAAAACTGTGAACTGGAGCAAGACTACATGGTCATCATAAAATTCTCCAAAATGCTGATAATCAAACTATTTTTATTTTCCATCCATGAAAACTGCTACATGTAAGCTTGTTCCCTGCACAGCACCTGGCTAATAGACACTGGGCTTTATCTTTGTGTGCCAGTCTTTTTTTTTTTTTTTTTTTTGAGGAAGATTAGCCCTGAGCTAACATCTGCTGCCAATCCTCCTCTTTTTGCTGAGGAAGACTGGCCCTGAGCTAACATCCATGCCCACCTTCCTCTACTTTATATGTGGGACGCCTACCACAGCATGGCTTAGATAAGCAGTGTGTAGGTCCACACCTGGGATCCGAACCAGCCAACCCCAAGCTGCCAAAGCAGGATGTGTGAACTTAAATGCTGCGCCACTGGGCCGGCCCCTGTAAGCCAGTCTCGACAAGCATTCATCTAACTGATTTCTGGCGTGACGTTGAGCGTGGAGCATATTTCAGGAACACAATCTGGTGTGAGGGTGCCAGGGAGCAGTGTCTGAGAACCAACACTGAGCCAGAGGGACCAGGAGCTGGGCGCAGCCCTTCTGAGCCAGCAGAGCCCTTCCTTTCGTGGAGACGGACAAGAGGACCCTACAGAACTCCCACCTTGAACTTTAACTGAGCTCTTCTCGGACCTGCCGCTTCCATCACCCTGATGCTCCCCTGGGAACCTCCAGGTTATACGGGGTCAGAGCAGGCCTGTTCTGTCCCTTGTCTCTTGTGTGAACCACAGTGTGGGAATCCAGGAGGACTTTCTGCAGGAGGGGGCATTTGAACTCTGTGGTCAGGTGCAACATTAGCTGGAGAACGGAAGGGAAGGCGTTCTAGGCCAAGGAAAGGCACAGGCATGTCATGGAAGTGGGATCCCGGGCGGTACCTTCGGGCCTTGATTCTGTTTGTGTGGCTGGAGCGTAGGGACCAGTGAGGCCCCCAGGGCCTTGAGCCCTGGGCTGAGGAGAGCGAGCTCTGCTCTCAGGAAATAAGCCACGGCGGTTTTTGAGGAACGGAGTAAAGCGACGTGACCGGCCAATAGGGGAGGGAAACGATTATGTATGCAACTTCGGCTGGAAGGAGAAACTGCACCGTGAAATGCTGACGATAATTACGTTAATGATATCATGGGCTACATAATAGCTCCCAAATGTTCTGGGAAGAAATTACACATCCAGACAGGTTCAAGCCCTTAAAAGTTAATTATACCAAATCTGAGATCCTCAGTATAGGGCCTACCCATGTTTAGAGAGGGTAATAGCAAACACGGAAAGATTTTTAATCTAACGTATACCCATCCTTCAAATTACGACGGCGAAGAGATGTTGCAGTTCCCCGGTGGTAAACAGTTTTGAGGTTAATTACTCTCTAGTGAAGAGTCAATTAGAAAAGGAAGCTCTCTCATCTCCCTCTTCAACATAAGCAGATTAAAATAAACATTTCAGACCCTAGCCAGAACCAGGGTTGCAAAGTAAAATACTAGTCTATTTTATTTTTTGTTAAAAAAAAAAAAAAAAGCCATCCAGATAGCTAAATGCAATGTGGAGAACGATCTGGGGCTTTCTGCAGCACAGACAGCCTGGCTGCGCCCTGGTCCCCCAGCCTGACAGTGTCCCACACAAGCCTGTCCCTGTAGCCTGACATCGTCCCAACAAGCCTGTCCCCTATCCTGACCCCCTCCCAACAAGCCTGTCCCCTAGCCTGACCCTGTCCCACACAAGCCTGTCCCTGCAGCCTGACATCGTCCCAACAAGCCTGTCCCCTAGCCTGAACCCGTCCCACACAGGCCTGTCCCCTAGCCTGACCCCGTCTCACACAAGCCTGCCCCAGGGCATCCCTCTGCCCACCTCACCTGCTCTCCGTCTCTGTAGCTCTCTTTCCTCGGAGTGACTGCAATGTGGTCATCTCTGGAGCCTCCCTGTGTTTCTCTGACTGTTC